CTTCTCACCCTATCTCTAAGGGAGAGCCCAGCCACCCTACGGAGGAAACCCATTTCGGCCGCTTGTATCCGCGATCTTTCAGTCATGACCCAGAGTTCATGACCATAGATGAGGGTAGGAACGTAGATCGACTGGTAAATCGAGAGCTTCGCTTTTTGACTCAGCTCTCTCTTCACCACGACGGACTGGTACAGCGCCCGCTTCACGGCAGACGCTGCGCCAATCCGCCTGTCGATCTCACGCTCCCTTCTTAAAATGTACTTTTATTGAACAACAGCAAAAGAAAAGATAACTTTTAACTTTCACTGGAGTGCTCCGTTTAATGCTGCTGCTGCCGGAGTGCATCCTGGGACAGCTGTCAATCTCAAGAACGGATAAGTCTGCTCTGATGCATACTCGATAAAAAGGGCGAGGCGAGAACAACATCCAGGGATTTGGTGCATTCTCAGTCTGGCGTTTTCTGCAATTGGAACAGTGCTCGGGCTGAGGCTGATGACGTGTCACGACTACACAAGAACGCATATTAAGAAACGGTCTAGCTCTCTTTTTAATCATCTCTGGTCTTCCATTAATGAAATAGCATCATCGGGGACGCCTCCGGCACATAAAAATGTGCTTAATTTCGTCATTTTCCACCATTGTGTTACTGGCCCTCCCAAACAACTCACATCTTTGTCAGTGAAGCTGAGTGCTCACACATTTCTTCCTTCACGGTGCCCATCTACATTAAGATCCAAAATTCTGAGATTAAAGTCAGCATTCGGAGAAAAAAAAGTCAGAATTCTGACTTTAATCTCAGTTAACTTCTTTTATTTTTTTCAGTGGCCCTAATCCTCTCCCGTAGACCACAAACCCCCCTCATTTTTTAAAGTGGTGCTGACCGACAACTGTAGTGTGCAGTGGCAGCAGATGACCGTTACTGTAGCTGAACATATAGGGATGGACATGGTCCCATTTACATAGTAGAGACCCTGGCTTCCTTCTCATGCTAAAAGTATGCGATCCAATTTATGACCCTCCAAGTTGCATATACTTTGCAGAGGTTGCATTAACAAAATATAGAACAAAACACTACAAGAGCTCTGTGAAAAGTTGGACTCTGCTTTGTTATTTGCAACTACTACAGTCCTTTGGTCCAGTCGATTTCTTCAGCCGCACGAGTTTAACTGCATTATATCGACGTGAACTGGCCTCTCAACAGCTGCTGCTTTCAAACCATCTACTTCCCAGAAAATCATTACACATTATTGACTGTTCAATTAATTGCATATTTCTTTTTTCTTTTACTTGTACTATAGATATATAAGTGTACATTTTTTACTGATAGAAAATGGGTACAATTATTGTTAGCTGAACATTTGTGTTACTTGCACAAGATTTATCCTAAGATTGTTTATGTTTACTTTTTTTTTTAACCATACGTTTATTGTTGGTTTAATATTTATTACTTTGCACAATATATTTTTGAATAAATCTATTTTAAAAATACATGCATGTAGTTTTTATTACTCCAATTAAAATCGATTAAAAACGTAATCGTCCAAGTCGAATGCAGATTGATAGCAAGTTGGGCAGTTTTTGAAAAACTCGAGTTAACCCACTAATTTCAGTGGGGAAGAGGCTTTTGTTACACTTTTTTGCTAGAGGTGGGGGGGACTCTGTCTCACAGACAGCCTAAGGCATAGGAGAAATGTTTGTATTTACTTTTCTGCTGTTTTTGTTTTTTGCTCATGTCAATCTCTCCTCAGGGGAGAGCAGAGCTCTATCGGCCACACAAAATAGAGCAGCCCTGGTAACCCTTGACCTCTCCATTCCATGATTGGCTGAATTTTGCCACATGATGTAAAACATTGTGGTTGCCCAGACAACGATAATAACATCACGCAGCGTCAGTGTGCAGAGTCGGGAGCAACTGTAGCGTTAAGGCTGATTTATACTTCGAAACCAGGTCGTCTGCGTGTGTTTCGCGGTGAAAACAGAGACGCCCCCGCCCCTTCTGCAGACACTCTGCTGGTACAGGAGGCCTCTGATTGGTCAAATCTACATCTGCTCTACACTATGCGTATTTCCTGTTTGGTCCCTTACAGGCTTGTTTTGTTTGTATGACCGCCATTGTGAAAAAAACGACTGAAGATGGACGAGCTAGAAGAGCGAGAAGCGCGAGAATGCTGGGAACCTTTTTCCACCTTGATCCCCGCTCTTTTTCGCACTCATATCCCTTCGTTATCACACAAAATTGATCCCACTTCCTCACTGCCTCTGCCTTATCCAGACCCAGTACCTGATTGTCCCTCTTGCGTTGTGGCGTGGAATAACAAAGCGCAGACCACGCTTCAATATCGGGCATAAATCAAAAATGTCTGCGTCATACCTACGAAAAGCTAACTGCGACACACTGCTGCAGGAGTATAACCAGGCCGTTAGCGTGTCTAATGACTGATGAAGTTTTTTTTTGCCTGATCCATAACAAAACGGAATAGAAACTGTTTATGTTGAACAAAGTAACTGCAACACCATGATATATAGGGAGAGAGCTGGGTAGCGCTTTGTTCTGTAGCTAACAGGTTAGCCTTTTTTAGCTCGGTCAGTTAGCCATATTAAGCTAAACAACTGTTCGTTCTCTACAAGTAGAATAACTTTTCTTTGTCTAAGATGTCTATGAAAATCATTTTTAAGATGTTCCATTGTTCCTCCTCTGGCCTCAGATCTTAATAAAAAGAATAAAAATAAGCTGAGACTTTTTTGTCACCTTGTTAAATGGCAGAGCTCAGTCTTAGAAGGCAGTACTTTCCTTCAAGATTAACGATGATTGTTTTCTACTTTCAGCTACTTTAGAACGCAAATGAAATGTAAAATAATACAAAATATAGGTAATGATATGTTGAGATTCCAAAAGAGATTTGATCCTTAATAAACGGGTGCCATACAGTTTGTCCGAGTGGAGTTGCCATATGTTGATGTCATTGAGCCGGTCTGGTACCTACACCCTCTTTAACAGAGAGTATAACATTAGCTATGCTAACAGACCAGCTAATATAAAAATGTATGACATTAAGAAAAACGTTCTGTTATTGTTGGCATATTAGCTACGATAATATAATGTTATAAGCTATCATTAGCTGATACGTCAAACATTAGCTATATTTTAGCCGTGTAGATATGCGTTGCTATGGGATACGCTGCCCTCCATTCATTGCTGTGACAGGCAACAATAAAACCTTTTAGGTTTCCACGTGTTAGAGGTTTACTGCTCATACTTTAACAGCAACAGCTTTATAAAAACTATGGGGTATTTAAAATTGTTATGTTAAGATATCTACAACAGTTAGTAAATAAAATCCAGCCAGGAATGTGGCTTAAGGAAAAATGTCTCAGTTTGATTAACTTTCTAAGGACTCCAGTCTTCTTAGTTTTATTTGCATTTGAAACCAGAAATCACAGCGTTGGTCAGTTAATCAGTAACGACTTCTCGAAATAAAACTCATAAAACCATAAGCATTTCACACAGATAAGAGCAGAACCTGTGATCACTCAGCTTCGCCGTGCAAATGGAAGAAATTGAAGTTCTTCATTAATATTTGTGTATCAGTTTATATTATTATACATGCAGTGTTAAGGATGATACTCCATTGTTTAAATAATGATTCTTCTTAGTAGTTTGATTTTACTTTTTACTGTAAAGTTTCCTGGAAATTGTGAAGCCATTCAAGTCGTCATTAACACTGTGCACCTTAGCGAGAGGTGGGGGGTCATAAAATGTTCTGCTCAGCCTAATTTAATGAGAAATAGTGGTAAAAATCTGCTTTTGCTGACAGATAATCATTGCAGCTTCAACGATTTGAACTTTTGTTTTTCAGCTAGCGCGGAATAAAGCCACAGACACTTAAGTTCAGTTGTGAGGATGTTCAATTATTAAACAGGGTCCCCTCCGGAGGAACCCACATCACATGAGCCTCAGGCAGCCCCACGCTGCCGCTCACAATAGTCATAAAAATGGTAATGATGACAGGAGAGACGGCACAAACAAGTCAAAAGGGCAGCAATGGCTCCTCATTAGTGGGAAACTAGAGGAGTTAGACTCTCAGAAATGGCGCGCCAAGATTGGAGCGTAGACATGAGGAAACGCTGCAGAGCTGCCTATCATCTACCTCCTGCTGGCCTTCACGGGGGAGCTCAGAAAATGTGCCGGTCCTTCTCTGGCTCTCACTCCCCCTCTCTTTGCTGAGCCAATTAGGAGGGCCTAAGCGACACTGTGGGCCATTTCTCTGAGCCATGGCTCACAGGAGACGTGTAATTGGAGAGACGCCGCAGACCAGTCGCTCTCCATTTCTTCTCTTTTGTTCCTTTATCACCAGCCTCCATCGCTCTGCTGCAGCCCCTCTGCACACCTCAGAACCACACCTGCATCAAGGTAATGAGCTGCATGAGTGTGAGGGAACTCCGGTGATGGACTGTCTGGCTGATGTACAGTTGCCTCTCAGGGCTGCTCGCTCTGATGGCGACAAATAGGAAAGCAGTGAGCTGTAAAAGCTTCTCTGTAAGGCACCATGAAAACAGGAAGACAACAGTAAAATAAAAGTGCGAAGGTTATGTGTGATGTTTGGCCCTCCTAACTATGCCTCGATATTTAAATGCGGTCTCCTGCGAGGCTCTATGTCAGGGGTCGGCAACCCACACTGCTCAAAGAGCCATTTTGGACCAAGAAGAACAAATCTGTTTGGAGCGACAAAAATGTAAGTCTTATAAGAGTCGCATGTGTCAACACGGGCTCTAAGTATATTAGCCAACTATAAAAAAGGACAAAGTGACCCTAAATATATAATAATAATTTCTGATTAAATGTTTATCCTGGTGGAATTCACCGTGTGCCACCCTTCTCTGCACTTGGATTTGAGGGAAAAAATTTTGAAAATTCCCATCCCTGCATCAGAGCGCTACCTGTTCGATCTGTGGACGGTTTTGCAACAAAACTAGCAGTAGTAGTGGAGTTTGAATATGCAATCCACTCCTTAAATCTATCTTTACTCTCCTCTAATTTACCCAGAAGTTCTGCAATCACACTTTTTCCCTCACTTCTGACTTTGTGATCAGCTTTGTGATCTTTCCTGGAAATACTTTTCCAAATAACCCTCTTTATTTTTTGACAAACTCTTATTACAAAGTAAAAATGCAGGCAATCATTCTGCATTGGTAATGAAAGCAAATGATTTGGTCCTTTCTTCTTCAAATCCTCTGTTCCATGGATCCATGGCACTAAACACTACTGCCGGAAGCAACACTCTACGTCCATGGCAGTTGTCCAATTTTTGACTGAAATATACAAAGAAAAAGATAGGAAAGAAAACACTGTAGGTATTTTTCTGGATCTTTCAAAAGCATTCGATACCGTTAACCATATTATTCTGTTAAAAAAAACTTTCACATTATGGTATTCGAAATAAGTCACTACTCTGGTTCACTAGTTACCTTTCAGACCGGTATCAAACTGTCAACTATAATGGGACAGAATCTCCTCTCCTTCTTCTTCAGTGTGGTTTACCACAAGGTTCCATCTTGGGTCCCCTGTTATTTTTAATATATGTTAATGACCTCCCTAATGTTTCAGATAAACTTTCTAAAATCTTATTTGCAGACGATACAAGTGTGTTTTACTCCCATAAAAACCCTGAAATTTTAATAAAGGTAGTTAATGAAGAACTTGACAAGTTATCCTCTTCGTTCAAGTCCAACAAATTGTCACTTAACATAAAAAAAAAAACAAGTTATATATTTTTTGGTTATAAGTTTGATACATTTAAAAAATTCAAATTCAAATTGATAATATTTCTATTAATTTTGTTAGATCTGCTCATTTCCTTTGTGTTATTCTAGATGATTCTTTATCCTGGAAACCTCACATTAGTGCCATAAGTAGAAAAATAGCCAAAGTGGTCGGTATACTAGGAAAAATCCGGCACCTGATTAAAAAGTTGCAATTATGTTATATTATTCAATGTTATATCCATATATTAATTACTGTAATGTTGCTTGGGCTAGAACCCACCCAACTAAACTTGAATCTGTTTTTCGACTTCACAAGCAAGCTTTAAAAATAATATTTTGTGTAAATCGTAGACACCCCTCCCAACCAGTGTTTGCTCAGGCAAGTATTCTTAGTGTTTATCAAGTGAATCAACTTCAAATAGCTTTATTTGTTTGTAGCTCTATAAAAAAGTTACTTCCCCAGCACTTTTGTAATATTTTTACCCCACATCACTGACAGATCTTTCTAAAGAACAATTTAAATGGAGAGTAAAATTGCTGCTACTAAGTTGTCTGAACTTTCCTTATGGATTTGTGGTCTAAATGATATTTTAAATTGTTTAATACAAAGAAATGCTGTTTTTGTTTTTTTTGTTTTTTTTACACACAATATCATATAGATGTCTGAAATGGTGAAATACATTTGTTTCTATGGAGACTGCCACTCATTAAGCCCCTTGAGGGTTTTTCGGCAGTTGTCCATCACATTTTCTTTTTTAGTGAAACATTATTCTGTTTTTATGTTTTGGTTGTGAAAATAAAATAAATAAAAAATAAATAAATAATAAAAATAATGGCGCTAAACACACCTGCCGCTTTGTTTTAGCGCTTTTCATTTACATGGTTCAAACTGCAAGCTCCAGAACAATAAAAGTGAACATATTTTATTGACAGGTTTCGACATTTTAAGTTAATTTAGGTGTTAATAATGTTACAGGGGAGTGTTCACAGCGATCTGCATCAGCAGCGCTGTGTCTGTCTCCCTGCCAGTGCCCAGATCAGCTTCTCTGATTGGTTGATGTGGCGCAAGGGGCAGCAAAAAGTTGTTCTTTAGTAAAAGGCGCACAACATACTGCTGTACACATTTCTAGCTAAAAGCGTGGCTGTCAATCATTTCTCTAGTTGGCTTTGGAAGGCTTAAAAAAGCTATTTTAAATGGTAGTAATGTCAATGTTCTGAATTCCGTATGAATAGTCGCCAATGATGTGGAGCACATCCCTGTTTCTGAGCTCTACTGAAGCTTCCTTTAACTTGCAGTAGATTTTGCTTGTGCAGCATTTTT